TCCAGGTCCATAGCACAAATGCTCTGCATCCTATATTTTAATAAGGACTCAGACGCCTGATGAGCTAACAAACTGGTGGTTGTGTTGTTACTATATCATGATGCCTGTGGCCCTTTCATGCAAGGACTTGTTCAGTACCCAGAGTAGGGAGAGGTGACTTCCCCAGAGCTCCAGAATGAGCTGGATGAGTGTTTTCCCACATCTGTTTCTCATCCATCCTGTTTTCACAAACAGCAGGATCTGCTCGCACTACATTGTAGTAGTGGGACTGTGGTAACTCCCCATTCCCTCATCCTCCCTTTCTTTTTTCAGAGACAGGGTTGTGTTGCATAGCTCAGACTGGCCTAGAATTTTCTATGTAGCTCAGGCTGGCCTAAAATCTGCAATCCCAATCCTCCTGCCTCAGTTTCCCCAGTGCTGGGATTATAGATACAGGCCACCATGCTCAGCTCTCACTCTCCACTTTTAACTGCCAGAGACAAAAAGAATCCAGCTGTTTGTTCAATGGCTAAATGTAAATGTATGGAAAAATACAAACAGATATAATGTGATGATATGGTACATAGAGCAAAGTCAACCAGGAATACCTGGGTTGGTTAGGTAATTCAAAGAGTCCTTCATATCAAAATCTAAAAAAAAGCTACTCTAAAACAGCAGATGATGGCGGTAACAACGGGAATGTGGGCAATAGAAGGGCCCATCGAGGCACAGGCTGGCTGAGTGGTCTCCCTACAGACACCCATGGTCAGTAAGCATCAGGATTACAGGTCGGCTGTGGAAAGAAATGAAAATATCTATCTGAACTGGGAGTTCTGAGAGGAGGGAGTGAAGAGGTTAACGCTGGTCAGTGGTTTGATGTCAGCTCACCGAGAATTAGAAAAATCCCACATACCTGGCTGACAGCAGCGACCATCAAGACTAGTAGAGGGTAGCAGGTGTGAGCTGCCAGGGTTTTATTTTCGAACCTCTTCTGGGGTCCTAGCTGAACTGTCTGCCCATGAGAGCCCAGGAAAGAGGAGGTCAGGGGCCAGGGAAAGGCAGGAACTCACTGCAGGATATAGATACAGACTCCGAAGAAGGGCCTGCTCAGGGACTGGAGGCCTGAGCAATGCCGTGTGAGCTCCGATTACATCACCTCCCAGGTGTGGTCCCCAGCTGGAGCTCCAGGGAGGGAAGGGCTGGAGAACATAGGCAGTGCGAATAGAAGAACTCTGCCATGGCCACATGGTGGCAGCAGAAAGCCACCGGCGAGATGGAAGACATGCTGGCCAAGAGAAGCACAATGTGCCAGAGCACACAAGGCCACATGGCTACACTTAGGATTTGAGAGAAGCTTACAGTTTTGACAAGAAGAGGGATTAAGAAGAAAGGTGAGGATAGGGACGTCGAGATGTGGATATGCCCAGTTCAGTCCCTCCACTGACTGATCCCTCCCCTCACGCTCTTAGGGCCTTGTGACTTAATGTCACCCATGCTGTGAAAGCTCTCTTCCAAAGTACCTACTCAAATGTCACCTTATAGGATCTACATCTCCCTGGACCCCCGCTATCGAAACCACACCCCTCCTTCATGCCAGCGGTCTCAATGCCCCTGGGTAGTTTTGTCTTTCTCTATATCGCTCAGCACCAACTGATGATATGCTACGTCTCCTTTACTTATCTAGCAGTTTATTGATTGTCTTTTCCAAACCAGAGTGTAGGCTCCATTAAGCCCAGGCTTACTGTCTGACCGAAACTGCATCTCAGGGACTGACACCACTCTGGCACATGAAATGCATTCCCTAAGTATCTGGTGGATCAATTAGTCGGTGGGATCTATCCCCAGCTGAGGCATCTTTTTGCTTCTGACATAAATATTCAAAGGCCCATTGGACAGCTCCGTGAAGACATGAAAATTCAACCTCCTCTAAATGGAACTCATTATCTCCCTGACTCCAGCTGGAATGTTCTGCTCCTCCAGAATGTCCCTGCCTCAGTGTGGCACAACCATCCAGTCAACTGTGCAAACAGAAATAACAACCCCTTTGCCTCATTCCAATATATAACCAGCCCCGAGTATCCATAAACATGTGGGATTCTTACTTCTCCTTTTTCCCATCTACATTTTCTCTAGATTGCATCTTCTTCCTTGGGGCACAATGCAAGTAAGATTCGTGCCTCCTCTCTGGACATTAGCGTGAACTCTCAACCCATGTCTGATTTTGTCTCTCTCTCTCTCTCTCTCTCTCTCTCTGTCTCTAAGCACCCAACAATCAATGGATTGGCCCCTATGATTGAGTTTCTGCTGAACTTTGCTGGTTCTCTTCCTTCCAGGGCTTTTCAGGTGGCATTTCTCAGACTACCCTGCTCTTCCCACTTCTTTGTGTGCCTGTAACCTACTATTCTTCAAGTCCAAGTTCAGACACTCTTCTTCAAAGAAACCTAACCTGACACAGCAACCACCATTGTCCCTTCCTCCCAGTGACCCAACCAGACCACGCTCTAACTGTATGTCCCTGTAACTGTCCATGTAACTGACATGTGCCTGTCCTCTGCTGAGAGGAAACATCATGTAGGGCTTACCTAGTTCTTGCAATCCCTTCCTGGAGGACCCAAGTGGACACACACAGCAAGCTTACCTTCTCTTTACTTGATGCTTCACCTTTCCAGCCACAGAATCGGGGCATCCTGATGTTACTCAGAGGTAAGGCCTATCCAATTCTTGAGTTTTTCTTTTTTTCCTTTTCAAAGCCAGGGCCCCTCCCCAAGAGAATACTCATCCTCCTATGAGTTATGTGACCAGCTGATTTAATCTAAAATTCCACCAAACTCACAATGTAAAACAAATGGGAAGGAGGCTCTCACAGCCTGGCTTTAACACAGAGGGCATGCTTTAGAATGTATCAGTCAATGCCCAGTCTTGAGGGTCCAGTTCTCAAAATGAGATGCTGATGAAGGAAAACTCAGTGTATTCACTACACATAGAGAGTGACCATAGGTCGGCTGGGTCAAGGGGATGCTGTATGCAGATTATATGGTTCCTCTAAAAGCCTAAGAACATGATAGAGAGTTTACTAAGAATGTGATGTGACTGAGAGTGTTTGATAAGCAGGTATCTTGTGTGTTTTGAATGTTCTATAGGAAGTTAGGCATACAGGTACCAATACAGGTCTTTTAAGTCAGGAAAAGACGTAAAGATGTTCCTGAGGAGTAAATATGAGTCTACCTGGTACAGGATATAGCTAGGGATGGTCAATAAATTGAGAAAATGAAGTCAGAGGGATGACAGGATCAGTAATAAATCAAGAGCTCAAATGCCTCAGTGTAGCCCTTTTGGAGGAGGGCTCCCTTTCTTCTCAAAGGCTACATAATATTCCAGTGCAGAGGACTTCCATGGCGATAAGACACGGGAATTTTGCATGAAATAAAAGATGGCACAGGGCATATGTTTCTGCTCATGCCAGATGGCAAAACAGGACTTGTAGTGGATATCTGCTCTATGACCCCGAAGTGCAGCCCTAGAGATGCAGCAGATAACTGCTCTACCTGCCTATGACCTTGAAGTACATGTCCCTGGGGCGTGGCCTCTTGGCTACCCTTAAGGCCTGAGATGCATGGATGCACTCTCTCTTTGCTCCCTAGTAGGACTTGGAGAAGAACAGCATTGACTGTGCCTCACCTTTTCCAGGACCCTGCGACAATTCCTCCGTTCTGTTTTGTGAGTTTTCCTTTCTTAATAAATCCCTTTGTCCTTTAAGCAGACTCCGTGGATTTCTTGCATTAAGGACTTCTATGCTTTTAATGTAATTATTCAACTGCTGAAGTTCTACCCAGCCTCTTCTGATATGATGCCTTAAGTATCCATGTCTCTTGGGGATTGTGTGAGTAAATATTCCAGTAGCAACTTTTTTTTTTTTTTTTTTTTTTTTTGAGACAGGGTTTCTCTGTGTTAACAGCCCTGGCTGTCCTGGAACTTGCTTTGTAGACCAGGCTGGCCTCAAACTCACAGAGAACCTCCTGCCTCTGCCTTCCAAGTGCTGGGATTAAAGGCATGTGCCACCACCGCCTGGCTTGCAACCTTTTTCTTCTTCTTAAAGAAATGGGGGAGTGGGGTGGTGCTGGATAGATAGCTAAGCGGTTAAGAGCACTGGCTGACCTTTCAGGGGACCTGGGGTTCAATTCCCAGCACACACATTGTCGTGTCACAACCATCTGTAACTCCCAGGAGTTCTGGCATGCTCACAGACATACATGCAGGTAAAATATCAATGCACATATAACATATAAATAAATATTTCCAAAGTGTGTGTGTGTGTGTGTGTGTGTGTGTGTGTGTGTGTGTGTGTGTACACAAATATGTGTAAGCCACAGTATATTGTGGAGGTCAGAAGACAACCTCAGGTGGTGTTTCTTCTTTCCACTTTGAGAAAGTATTTCGGTTGTCCAATGTAGCATGCCCCAGGCTGGCTGATCTTTGAGTTTCTGGGGTTCTCCTGTTCCTACCTCCCACTACAAGCACTGGGACTTCAGATGGGTGCTACTGTGCTCAGATTTATGTGGAGTCTAGGTCTTCATACTTGGCATGGCAAGTGCTTTACCCATTAAGACATCTCTCCAGCCTCCTTTTTATAATTATCAATATATTAGGCTTTCTTCCAACAGACTTAGAAAGATCAAGAGACACTTTCTACCTCTTTATAGTTGTTAGTACAGGTACCTGCAAATGCAAGGTAATGACCCTCACAGGACTGATAAGTACCCAAAATGGAGGCCAAGACAGGCTATTAAATCCTAACGTTCACTGTGATATTGCAGCTCCCTGTTATTGTTAGCCAACATGTTAAATCATGGACGTAATTACATTTCTTCACTGTCCTATTAACTCCTGCTCGGAATCCTTCTAAAAGATACAAGCAAAACCTACAAATTCATAAGCTAGGTATTTTGTGGATTTTCACTGCCTTGGGAATGATGGTTTGCTTATCCCTGTAATGACCTTTCAGGGGATCCATGTCAGCCTACCTCCGGTCTGTGGGGTACAGTTCCACCGTGACCACATCAAGGGAATTCCACGCTGAGATGGTCAGTCCATTGTACAGACACAGCATGCCTATCATCATGGATTCACTGGTGCCAAACCACAGGAAGAAACAGCTGATCCCTGAGAGTACCATGGAGCCACCTGCCAACAGAGGACGAAAGATTGTTTCCTGTCATCTTGGTAGAGTGAGGGACCTTGGGTCTTAGAGCTCTCCCAAGAAGACAGTTCCATGGAGAAGCTGCAGACTGGGCTCTATGGAACTTAAGTTCAAGTGTACCCACCTGTCTGGAAGGCGGTCTAAATGCATTTTGAATGTGTCATGTGCAAACGCACATCATCCCTTACTCATCTACTTAAGTGAAAAAATATACATTAGCTACATATAATAAGTTTTTCAGTCTGTAACTCATGGGGATTGCTCATATGAAATGTAATTAGACACAATTTTCACTACAGTTCAGTCCTAATGCAAGACCTAAGGGATTTCTTTTTCTTTCTTTTTTTATTATTAAGAGATTTTCTATGGGATTTCTTATCAGTGTGCATTTCTAAGGGACAGGAAACAAGGTAGGAAACAGGTTCTCTCTAGATCACAGGGACAGCTGTTTTTCTTTCGATGAAGGTAAGCACACACCTAGCATTGTTAAGCGCCCGATTCTGTCCATCAGGAGAGCAGACACAATATTTCCTGGTAACACTGCCAATGTCCCAAGAAAGTTGACAAAATAAATCCAGTAGGCACTATAGTCATCGTCAAAAGTAATCTGGCATCCTGTCTTGTTGTGAAGAAACGTGCAGTTTTGAAATTCACTGTCGATGAACTTATATGGCTCAAAATCTGTGGAAACAAGAACGAATAAAATCCATCAGGCTCTTGTCAGGTGCAAGTGACGGATATGGTCAGTAACAGAAATCCCACTGAGACTTCAAAAGAGAATCACAGGACTGCCAGTTCTTTGGGGATCCCATGGCTGGGGCTGACTTGACTTTTTGTGTTTCCTTGCTGGAGCATGAGAGCTAGTCTGGAACCTCACATTGCAAAGTAGCCGCATGGAGGGCTTCCTTTGTTGGACAAGGTACTAAGTTAACTAACGTTTCCCGTTATCTTGATTCCCTATGATGACTGGCCTTTGCTACTTATATTATTGCAACAGGTTCTATATAATACAATTATAAAAACAATTCATTTTAAATTATACCTAGATTGACCTCGTCATTGTCATTTTTAGGGCCTCTGAGGCACACAGAAGGAACAGGACTCCCCTTGAGTCCATGAAGCTGTATTTATAATTTAAGGTCTATGTAGATGAAGTCACAGGAGAATGAAGGCCAGTCTCCCATGAAGATCATCAGCATCTATGCTATGCATCTTGTTGTTGTTATTGTTGAACTTATCTCACCAAGAAGAATTTTACATGGTGCTAGGTTCTGCTAGAGGAGCTCAGGTACAACCTATCATCTTCCAGACGTTTACCCTCCGCTCCTTCAGAACAGCTCTTCTTCTGGGGTCAAATGGGTTAGAAGACAACACTTGGCCTCTTTCTCATTGGAGTGGGGGCAGAACTGGCTCCTGACTGAGTGCCAGAAAGGTCAGATGGCTAATAGGGCAGACACTCATCTTCCTGAGGGGTCGGGATGTTATTCTAGACAAATATATGGGAATGGGAAATCGTGGACAGTACAGTCACACAGACCAGGGCTCCAAGGTTACTTGTTAGTAGGGTTACTAGGTCATTTATTGTGACCAAGTCACGTAACTTTTCTAAGCCTCAGGTACTGTGAAAACTGTCTGAGACTGTGAGTGTCTGATGACCCAGACTGGGTTGTCGGCTTCCTTTGTTTCTCTGGGAGGTTTCTGAAACTCCGTTGCACACTCAGGGCTAAATCATCCTAAGTTACTGAGCACAGCCACATACTGCTCCCTCCGTGAAGTGGAGAGTTAAGACGGGCTTACTTAAACAAGAACCAAATTGTGAAATTAACGTTATCAAAACAAATAAACCCTCAGGGCAATTCTTTGCTTTAAGAAGTATTTCTCCAAAGGCTATTTATTAATTTTGCCCATTTCGAACTTGGGTAAGCCTCCATATTAAATCCAAGAAAGCAAAACAATGCCAGCTTGCTTTTGATTCAACCTGATATGGGGAAATTGTCCATTCACACTTTAATCTCCACTTGCCCTATGAGCCTCTGGCCCCACTGTCACATGATTATGACATTTCTGCCAAGACAGAGGCCCTTCGAAGGCTCCCTGCTGCCACTGTAGGTAGTATGAGCCATACTTTACCTGTGTTCTCAAACAGGGTATCAATAAATGTGCAGTTCTTGAAGTAGGTGTTGACTGAGGTCACGTCGTCAAAGGTGCAGGACTTAAACACTGAATCTTTGAAAGTTACAGACTTGAACTTGACTCCGAGGAATCTGTACAACACATACACATACAAATGAATTGACTGTTATCTCCTCAAGTTCAAAGATAAGTCAAATGGATAAGAGCTATGGCACCTTGCTATAGTCATCCTTAAGTTATGACACACTGCTATAACCATCTTTTTTTTAAAGGTTTATTTATTTATTATGTACACAGAAGAGGGCGCCGGATCTCATTATAGAAGGTTGTGAGCCACCATGTGGGTGCTGGGAATTGAACTCAGGACCTCTGGAAGAGCAGTCAGTGCTCTTAACCTCTGAGCCATCTCTCCAGGCCCCATTCTTAAGTTATAAAGGGCACTTTTTTTTTAGGTACCTTGCTTTTTCCCTTTTGGTTTTGGGTATACTGTTTTTTGGCTGTACAGCTGTTCAACATTATTTCCTGTCAGGAGAAGCAATGGCACTCAAGTCTGGTCGGTTTTTCACAATGATGGCAAAAGGTCTTGAGAGTTAGAGCCGTGGCTTTGAATTGTTCGGTTTTCATCACTGTCCTCTAGCCTCTCCCCAGATTCCTTTTTTGGAAAAGTCTCCATTGAGGACTTGCAAATCTCACGTGCAGATGTATTAGTATCTGAACTTTATATTTTTACCTACATTTATATTTTACAGTGATGGAGATTGAGCACAGGGACTTGCACAAGCCAGGCAAGTGCTGTACCACTGAGTCCTTCGAGTTTTTTATAAAGTCTGTTTCCTAAGAACCTTTGATGACAGAGCATGGGAGTTCCACTTCGTCATGGAGGGGTGCCTGACAAGGGTGAGAAAATGCATACTGATTTCCTGGGTCTTTGCCCTCTAACAGTCCAAAGATATTCCTTGAGCCAAATCAAAACACAAGAGTCCCGTTGACCTTTGGAAACATGCAGAATGATGAGATGGGGTCAGATACACTTTTAAGGTACTGCAACGGGGAATTATTGGTAGTGGAGATGATAATGGGCTTAGGAAGACTAATGTCTTAAAAGAAGAGCCTGCGAGTCATTGATATGGACTTGCTGAAGCTGTGGATAAGTGTGCACCAGTGAGTCTTGTTTCCTTATTAGAGACTCCGTGTATCCTTAGCAAGCCAAAGAGAGAATGCTTGTTACCCCAACCTAGTAGAGAAAGAGACTAATCGGTACAGGCATGTGAGTTGATTGAAGGCATTCCCTCTCTGCTGAGTACTCCCGAAGATTATTCACATCCTAATGCCCAATTGCATTTATCAATTGCAAATGTACTGTGGCCTCACAGACCAACCACCGTCCACTTCTCCACTCCAGGAGCCCACAGGAAGAGCAGGTGAACGTGCTGAAGGAGGCTGGAAAGGTTGTGAAGATTGGAAATTTTAAAACGAGCCTGAATTTGGGAAGGGGATGCAATCGTAATGTGTGATAGATTGGAAATTTTAAAATGAGCCTGAATTTGGAAAGGGGAAGCAATCTTACTGTGTGATACACCCAGGGTGTTCCTGATGTAAAATTCAAATGGTTGAAGAAGGAAATGGTAAGCCTCTCCCTACCACCTCATGCTGTCTAGGGCCTTGGGAAAGAAGCCTCTGGACTCTTCCCGAACATTCTGCACACAGACAAGGAAGGACTCCATATGCTATCTGTGCAGTCAACCTGGAGGGTATTCCAGGTGAGGGTAAAAGGGGTCTCCACTGGGGAATCCCACACAGGGAAGCCACCATTCAAAAGTGAGTCAGCAGTATTATTACAAATTTCTTTTGAAAGACAAAACCTTTCCTCTGTCATCTAAAATAAATGTTTCAAATGTAAAATATATATTTGCAAGGTTTTTCTTTGGGGTCCTAAAAAAATTCCCCCTATGTGTGCACATGCACTTTTGTGTGCATGAAGGAGTATAGGCATATTGGTGCCATGGCACACGTGTGGAGGATAGAGAAGACTCTCTAGTGCTGTTCTAATAATAGTCCTTGTTGGAATAAGGTCTCCTTGTTGTTCACTGCACATAGCCCAGGCCTCTCCAAAGGAGTGTTGGGATTATAAATGTGCATGTAATCAGGTCTGGCTTTTGTGTGGCTTCATCAGGTTTCCATGGAAAGTACTTTACACACTGAGTCATTTCCTCAGCCCGGTGTTTCGTCTTTTTAGACAGATTTTGGCAACAGAGCCCAGGCTGGTCTCAACCTCAGTCTTTCTTACTAAAATTATGACTGTCTCAGACACAAACAATGTTTAAAAATGTTCTTTTGTTGTTGTTATTTTGAACACGTTCCTACTATGTAGTACATACTATGTACGGTGCTGGACTCGAACTCGCCACCTCTTGGCTCTCCATCCCCTGTGTTATTATATATAGTTATACAGTATTATAAGTATGTACCACCACACCCACTGTATTTTAGAAATTTCTAATGGAAGAACAGTACTTTTCGCAACAAATATTTATCCCACAGTCACAGGATTTGATGCTCAAGTTCCCTTGAAATACACGTGCAGGTCATCAGTGGTTCAGGTGGGTGAGTGAGTCAGATGCAGGCCGCATGGGTTATGTTTAGGTCTCTCCGGATGGTGGTTTATTTCTCCTGCCATGACGGCCTCCGTTCATCCATTTTCCACTGAGTGGTATGCTTTCTTCTTTTAATTTCATAAATTTTATTATTGAAAAACTTGCTGATAAACAAAACCATCATACACACCCCCCAAAAGATGATTAGACCTCTTATTAGATGGCTAATTAGAATAATGACCCCCCCCCCCCCCCCCCCCCCCCCCCCCCCCCCCCCCCCCCCCCCCCCCCCCCCACCCCGATGCTGGCAAGTATCCATTATCCAGGCCACAAGAATTCCACAAGTCTTTTTCATCTTAATGAACTGGTTTTTGCCTTTGGCAATTTTGATTATCTTGGAATTTTAAAAAATTTCATCATTTTAAAAATTAAGACAATTTCCTAGAAATAATGAGCTACTGTGAGTTCATATCAGCGATTTCTGCTCAGATGATATGTAAATGAACACGATTCCCTTGTCTATCCATCTTTCTCTCTGAAAAGATGAGACAGAACCACCTCCCTGAACCTCTGGCTCACCTAACATTAAGAGGCAGCCTGGTCCTGTGCTTATCCTTGCTAACCCTCTACTGTATTCACAGCCCTTCACTTGGGGAGACCATTTCCGCTCGCCAACTGACACGCTGAACTCCAGCTCTTGATCTGCACAGTGGAGACCTGAAATGTGGTCACTTTCAGAGATGGGAGACTCCCACTTACATCCCCATTTCTCCACTCTCTGGCCCTTCCTGTTTCCTCACGCAGTCCCCTCCTCTCTTCCCTAACTTGTTCATGGGTCTTCAAGAGCCTCCAAGCTCGCTTCTCACCCTGGGCTGTTAGCTCTGCTGCTCAGTGAGCAAGAGGCAAAGTCGGTCTCAGAAGTGATTTTTGTTGTTGTCCAAGAGGCATATGATTGATTCTCTGCCAGTACTGTACTAGGTTGAAGTAACTGACATGTGCATATCTCTGAAGTGGATTTTAAATGATTAAAATCCACCCCCAAATAACTAATAATACAATTGAAAACCCCTCAGGCTTTGGTTATTATTAATTGTACACCACCACGAAGCCGGTGTTTGTGACTAGCTAGCAAGTTACATCAAAGTTTCCCAACCTGCCATTGTCGTACTCCATTCCCGTGTGGATCTGGTTTTCCATGGTAAAGTTAATGCTGAAGTTTGCGTATTTATCTTTTTGCACATTTCTGGTTAGCAGGGCATACTCGTCAGACTGCAGATGTTTAATGACATCAGGGAACCAGACAGACAATCCATAGTACCTGCAAAGGCAAAGAAACATGTGTTTGTAACACGTACACAAGGCCTCCTGACATGTTCAGAGTGGCAGTGGTTCTTAGGAGCACTCCCAGGTATTACTGGCCCCTTGAAACATTTGAACAAATCATCACACAGTAATTGGTACACTGCCCTCCCCCCTTGCAAAACCCAGGGGGAGAGACAGCTGGAGCCTCAAGGTCTGTAATTCCTGAAGCCCTTTGGGAAGAGATAGGAATCTCAACCCGTCACCACACATAGTGCTACCGTCTGAGTGTGTCCCCTTCAAAACCGAATCCTAAATCCCACGCCACAGTATTAAGAGGTGAGGACTTTAGGCTGTGGGATGTTGTCATGGCAACATAAATAGATCGAAACACATGGCATGCTGGCCCTGATGTCATTCATACCAACCTGGGCTCTACCTCGAAACCCTGTCTCCTAGCCTGGCAGAACAGAGTTCTGGGATCTAGGAAGGAAGAGCTCACAGGTAGCCTCTTTTACTAATGGAGCATCATTCTTGTTTCCTATATGACTGCGGCACTGTTAGTCTGGAGCAGGAGCCATGTTTCCCAAAGGGAATCAAGGCAGCAGAAAGGGACATTTGGAGTTTCTTTTCTCCCTCTTTCCTCCTCTGCTCCATTCTTCTCCTTCTCCCCTCTTTTTCCCCTCCCCCAGCCTTCTCTCCCTCACACCTGACTTTCATTCTGAGACCAGGACTCATGTAGCCCAGATGGCCTCAGATGTTCCATGTTGTTGTGTGATATTTTGATTGTGTTCTGACAAATGGAGCTTGCTTGGAGTCAGAGGGCGGAGCCAGCCACTAGCTGACCAAAATTAACCATAGAGGTTTGGAGGACTGTAGACAGAGAGGAGACAGGAAGTAGTGAGGCGGGGCGGAGAGAGGATCAAGGACAGAGGAATGGTGGAGGTGGGAAGTGACTGGTGGCTCCTCCCTGCTTCTGTGATCTTTCAGGTTCTTATCCCGATATCTGACTCCTGATTTTTTTTATTGATAAAGATTAATTAGATTAACACTTCACTATATAGCTGAGGAAGGCCTTGAACTTTCAATCTTCCTGCCTCCACTTCATCGCTGGTGGGATTACAGGCACATGCCACCACACATGCTTTATAGGTGCTGGGGGATCAAACCAAGGGCTTCATGCATACCAGGCAAACACTCTGCTAGTTGAATAGCCCAAATATCCAGGTTATTCTCACTCCCTGTCTCATGATCTCTAATGTACGACTCTAAAAGCTGTGGCATGCTGCCAGGCTGTTCAGTCCAGGAGCCACCAATCACATGCAGTTACTAAGCCCCTAAAAGGTGGCCAGTCCAACTGGTGATGTGTTCGAGTTTTCAAGAGTTATGAAAAAAAAGAAGAACATAAAATCATTTATTAATAATGTTATATTGATCATAGATACTACTTTGGACATAGTGAGTTGAACAAAACAGTATTAAAATTAAATTTACCCATTCTTTCTCTTCTGTGGGTGTCACTACCAGAAAATATTAAAAGGAATAAGTGGATCAAATTGTATTTGCAACAGACAGTGTCACTCTAATGTAGTAGTTTCCAAATTGTGATCCCTGGATCCATGTCCACGAACCTGGCCTGATCCAGGACATTATGAATCTGGGGTGGAGTACACCAGGGGATTGATTATTCTGTTATATGCTCCAGTTTTCTTCTAGTTTACTCCAGTGACACTCAGGGGAGAAAGTGGCTTGTAAGTAGACTGATTTCAAGTCCTGGTCTTGTCATTTGCCTTCAGAGTGAACTTGGGCCCCTCGGCTCAGTCTTGGCTTACCACACTTAGGATGACTATACAGGGTAGAGGACTAACCACCTTCCACAGGCTGCTGCTCAGATAGAATGGGATGCAAAGTGCCTACCACATCATGGGTACCCAAAAGACCAAATGAGTCATTGTAATCCTCCTCCTCCTCATCGTCACTGGGACTCCTCAAACAGTTACTTCTCAGAGTCCCATAGATTTCCACCCCCATGCTCCTCACAGACTATGCACCAGGGCAGTGCGAGTGTGAGGGTGGCCAGTGAGCAAGCAATGACTCAAGGCTATAACACCAGGGGGTCACTCTCTAGTCAGAGTCAAGAGGCAAAAGCTTGAAGATGACAAGGAAAACACATTATCTTGGGAAGTCCACCATCAGTGATGTGGAGTTTTAGCTGACGTTTTATTTACTCAGCAAACATTTGCTGAATGTCCTTTCAATAGTGGGCAGTGCTGAGATTCCAGGAAGGAAGTGATAAAACGTAAACTCTAGTCAGCAATGAGTAAGTTACCCAGATAATCCACTGGGTACTGGCTACATTGAGGACTTTGTTTTTCTTTGTCTTTGCCCTTTTCATACTGAAGCTAATGGCAGGAACCGAATACTATTCATTTCCATCTCTTTCTTCTGAAATTATATGTTTTAGAAGTTGGGAGAGTTTACTTAACATACCTCTCTCCCCCATCCCCATCCCCATAACTAGGGATGGAAGCCACGACCTCGCACCTGCCTGGCAAGTGTTATACCACTGAGTTGTACCTCCAACTCTAAGCCTCCAAACTTGGAAATGGGGAATGAAATCACCTGGCTGACCAAGCTGCCTAGCAGAATGAGCTGCCAGGATCCCAGCCCAAAGCATTCATTCCCCTTTGCCTTCATCACACTTTGCCAACAGTAGGAAAGGGACCTCTCTGCTTGCTCTAGTTTACAGATGCTGAGAGATGGAACTTGTATGGTTAATACTGGACTCTACGGGGCATCCAGATCCTTTGTGCCTGACAAATGCAGGGTTATTATCTCATTGCTTTTTCTATAGAGATGAGGTGACAGGGTTTCACATACACATTCTGAAGCAGAGATATCGAGTATCAGTAAATAAAACCAGGATTTTACCCTCACCCATTCTTAGAACATGTATATGGCAGTTTTATTCATATGGCAACAACTATTTACTGAGCCTTAGTGTGTGTGTGTGTGTGTGTGTGTGTGTGTGTGTGTGTGTGTGTATAAAACAAGAGATAAAGGTAGCATAAAACCCATTCCTTCGTGGTGCTTCCAAAACGGGAGGTGATAGAATTCCTGGCCACTCCTCCAGCTACATGACTGCACATTCGCTGTCCAGTAGCCAAGCAAAAAGCTTAGTCATTCCAGGGCCTTACGTCCTACGTAATCCATGCACTGCGTGATCACGTAATCTATGTGCATGCCTGTCATAGCTACATAAACCCATATGCACATGTGCGGTGGGAACCTATAAAAAGCAGGTTCCATCTTATCCCTTCTCTCTCTTCCTGCACAATCATTTCCCATAGGCCTAACCTCCTCCCCTTCCCCTAATAAACTCTTCTAGTGGGTTTTCTCGTACCTCGTGGCTTTTCTTGCATGGTAAACAGTGCTGCTTAATGATAACATTGTGCCGCATAATAACTAAAAGGAGGCCTAACTTTTAATCTTGAAATTGTGGTTGGGAGCTTTAGTCTTTAATGACCATGTGAGCTCTCCAGCCCTCTTTTAGTCTTTATACAGAATTTAAAAGAAGACTTTGGGGGAGCTGAAGAGATGACTCAGCAGTTACTAATCCTTGCCGCACCCCAGCACCCATGCACCAAGCTGGCATTCTGCCAACACCTGTAACTCCAGCTCCAAGGAATCCAGTGCTCTTTTCTGGTGTCTGTAACGCATGCGCATATGCACACACACGTGAATAAGTAAAACAAATCTTAAAAAACATTTTGTATAGTAGAAAATAGTAAGTGCCACAAGGAATAATGAAGCTGGGAAGGGAACAGGGAGTGTGGATGGGGAAATGGTGGTTTTAGAAAGGAAGGAAAGAAGGAAGGAGGAAATGGAGGGAGGGAAAAAAGAGGGGAGGAGAGAGGGGATAAGAGAGGATGAAGGCACTAACTCAGGGATGCAGTCACTGAGGAGGAGATGCGGGAAGAGGTGAAGGGTTGAGGGACTGAGGGCAGCTGCCTGTCGGGGACAGTGCTCTCGGTGGGGCTGGTGCAGCCAAGGCCGAGCTGGAGGCAGAAACAGATCCTCAAGTTCAGGGAGAAGCAGAGCGGCCAGTGTGGCTGGGGCCGAGCTGAGGAGGGAGGGACTGATGGCCAGCACACAGGTGAGTCACCCAGGGCACCATGTGACTTCCCAAATGCCACTCGATTTGTCAGACCGGTTTCCCAGCAGGATCAACAGAAGGATTAGTTTATTAGCTATAAAAACTGTGACTGTCAGCAAATGTAAACTGCAAAAAAAAAAAAATCCTTTTTGGGCAAGTTAGCAGAATTGGGCCATATGAATATGAGAGAGAGGGAGAGAGAGAGAGCGAGAGAGCGAGAGAGCGAGAGAGCGAGAGCGAGAGCGAGAGCGAGAGCGAGAGCGAGAGCGAGAGCGAGAGCGAGAGCGAGAGAGAGAGAGAGAGAGAGAGAGAGAGAGAGAGAGAGAGAGAGAGACAGAATGCAGAAAGGAAAAAAAAAAGACAAAGAAACAACTGGGAGTCACCATGCTGATTTTGTCCACTGAGAATTTAAATGTCACTTACCCAAAGGACAGGGTGAACCAAACAATCGTAAGCTTTATGGTGTTTTCTCTGACTGGGTAGTTGAAACATCTCATAAAAGTCAACCAAATCTGTGAAATACAAGATGGTTAGTCGTCTTTCACAGTTACATAGCGAACCCCACTCCCCATTCCTTCCCCTCAAATTAGAAAAGAGCCAAGTTTTTACAGAGCTGAATTAATTTCAGCTACAATATAAAGTCTTAACATCAATCCAGATGCGAAGGCTGGGATTTCCTTCCTTCCTTTCTTGTTTTCTTGCAGTACTAGTGACTGGACCCGGGGCCTCATGAATGCTAGACAAGTGCTCTACCATTGAGCTACATCCCTAAGCCTCCTTTTTACTTTTTTTTTTTTAAAATTTTTTATTTTGAGACAGGTTCTCATTAAGCTTTCCAGGCTGGCCTTGAACTTTCAATCCTCCTGCCTCAGCCCCTTGGGTACCTGGAATTACAGGCCTTAACCAGCCTACCTAGCAACGCTCAGTTTTCAGCTTCCTGGAGGTCAATAGATACCAAGATAAACTTTCCTCGCCCCAGCTCCTGGCCTGACACTTTCCTTCCTCAAGATGGAGTACACTGGCTAGCTAGTCACTGAGCTGAAAGGGGTCCAGTTGCCTGGTCCTAGTGCAAGAGACAGGTGTGCTAGACAGAGGGGACAAGCCCTCCTCGTGGGACAGGCACAGTCAGAAATTGACATGTAGATTGTCATGAAAGTCATACTTACTCCATACAGTTCTGTGCGGATCCGAACAAAGCACCTCCTGTACCACGTTCCCGTGTCGCTCTCAATCTCAATCAGCTCGTCTATTTGTTTGGGAGTTTTGATTTTATTTACCTGTGGAGAGCAACCGAGTTCAGAGGGCTGAGTTCTCTTCCCCGAAGTTGCTGAATTTAGGCTCTTTATTGTAAATGAGCAAAACACAACTCTGAACAGAAAGCGGTATTCGGTAAGAACTCTGCATACGCATGAGAACCCTGGCGGAGATCTACAGATCCAAAGGACATACAAAGGAAATGAATATGACCTAGTGATGAGGAATGCCATAGAGAAATGCGGAGAGGGAGCAAGTGGGGACGGGATGACAGGAGACAAAATGCCTCCCTTTTCATCATGACCAATAAGACCAAGGTTCTGCACTTCAGGTTCTTATCTACAAAGTAATTATAATAGCACTGTACTGACAGAGTCGTGCGAGGGTCTCAGGAGACACTGTGGGTAAGGTATGTAGCAGCCTGTCTGGCACATTCCAAGTTCCCCATAAGAAACAGCCAGTAATACAATACTTGTATATGTAATATATACAAGAAAGCTGTACAAAGGTGTGTACATGTGTATGAGTGTGTGTACATGTGTGTAGGAGCAGTAAGAAGACAAAGACAACATTGTAAAGGTGCTCTCTGGTCCCACCCTAGGAGCCCAGGACTCACCCGCTTTTCTCCTGACACACACAGGTATCTCATTTCAGGAGTGATTTTACAAATGCTAGTGTGTACACACACACGAAAATGTATACATATATAAATACACACACAATATATATGTATATACATACATAAATACACACATCAATATATACACATATAAAAATACACACACTATATATACATATATAAATACACACTATATATATAAATACACACAGCATATACATACACATATAAGCACACACAATACATGCACAATATATATACATATATAAATGCGCACACCAATGTATATACATATATAAATACACACAGTATATACATATATAAATACACACACTAAATGTATACATATATAAGTACACACACCAATACATAAATAATAATTCAAATACAGCCTAAGCACAGGTTTCCTAACAAGCAAGATTCCTCTAGAAAAGCAGTAAGTGCTCTTAGCCATGAAGCCATCTCTCTAACCCCTTGTGGTTCTTTAAGAACAATCCCACTTTGGGGTGGAAGGGAGATAGCTCAGTTAGTAGAAAGCTCTCCTTTCAAGCATGAGGACCTGAGTTCAAACCCCAGAACCCACATGAATGTGCTGGACATGCTGATACACATGTGTAATCTCATTGCCGGGGAGGTGGGGATCAGATTCAGGGATCTGGGGCAGGAAATCTAGCTTAACTGGTGTTCTCCAATGAATGACCGTGTCAAAGGATGAGGATGGAATTCCTGAAGCGGACATTTGAGGTGTCCCTGGTCTCCACACATGTGAACATGCACCCCATCACACGTGAGAACACACTCACACATCATACATACACACAATAATAAGGAGGGGCTGGAGAGATGCTCAGAGCTAGAAGCACCTGCTGCTGTTGTACAGGCTCAAGGTTCAGATCCCAAGACCCACATGGTGGCTCACACCCATCTGTAATTCTGGTTCTGGTGGAACTTATGTATGCCTTCTCCTGGCCTCTGCGGACACTGCACATACATGGTGCACACATACACATGCAGACAAAACACACTTACACAAATAAGAGAAAAATGAATCTTAGAAAAGGTATTTGCTGTTACATAAAAGTGCTATTGAGGATAACATGCAATATTGCTAAGTCCCTTACAGTCAGGTCTATATAAATCCTTCACAAACTAGAACTGAAGTTGACTTTTCCTGAAAACATGTGATCCACTGAATTTTTCTTGCTTGTTAGGAAACCTGGGGGATAGTCTTATGCTTAGGCTGTTTCTGAATTATTATTTTTATATTGGTGTGTGTCCTTATATATGCATACACTTAGTGTGTGTATTTATATATGTATATTGTTGTGTGTATGTACAGATGTATATATATTGGTGTATGCATTTATATATGTATATATAGTATATATATTTGTGTGTGTACTTATATAAGTATATATGGTGTATTTATATATGTATATATTATGTGTGCATATTTATACATGTATATATATGTGTGTATGTATTTATGTATGTATATATATTGTGTGTATTTACATATGTATACATTTAGTGTATTTATACATGTATATATATTGGTGTATGTATTTATGTATGTATATATTGTGTGTATTTATATATGTATAAATATTGGTGTGTATATTTATATATGTACACATTTTAGTGTGTGTGTACACATGAGCATTTGTAAAATTACTCCTGAGATGAGAAACCTGTGTGTGTCAGGAGAAAGGCAGGATGGCGGTTGAGTCCTGGGCTCCTAGGGTGGGACCAGGGAGCACCTTTACAATGTTGTCTTTGTCTTCTTACTGCTCCTACACACATGTACACACACTCATACACATGTACACACATTTGTACAGCTTTCTTGTATATATTACATATACAAGTATTGTATTACTAGCTGTTTCTTATGGGGAACTTGGAATGTGCCAGACAGGATGCTACAAACCTTACCCACAGTGTCTCCCGAGACCCTCGCAGGACTCTGTCAGTACAGTGCTATTATAATTACTTTGTAGATAAGAACCTGAAGTGCAGAACCTTGGTCTTATTGCTCAGGCTATGAAGCAAGTGAGTGGTAGAGCTGGATTTTTAAACTCAGATACATTTGCTTTACCTAGAAGACCCCAGGGTAGTCTGAATTTCCTGACTAAGCAGCATGTACAAGCAAGTTTCAGATGAGGCAGGAGCAGCGACCTGACAGCAGAGATGGTGACCTAGCAGAGAGGCCAGTCTTCGGTGATAGCAAGACGAAGAGAATCTAATGGTGATCCCTACAACCAATGCCTCTGGTACTGAGCCAGGGGGTCAGAATAAATCTGAGCCTAAATTGTAATCTTTCTGCTTACACTCTGTCTCTCAGGTTAGTATTATTACTTAACCAACCACAGCGGCTTGGAGTTTTAGATAGGTGTGGGTAGGTTGGTCCCTCTGCCTATTTGTTTAAATAAAGTTTTATTGGAACACGGCTAAGGCCCATGGCTTAGACATTCTCTATGGCTGCTTGCTTTTGCACTGCAAAGACAGAGCTAAGTAGTTGTGACAGAGACTCCACAACTGGCGAGGTCGTAAAGGTCCGGCCCCTTACAGACAACTCAAGGAGTCTCTGAGGAGCGGACTCACCGTGAAGACCTTCTCTGGCTGGCCCCGAGCTCTCATGTTGGTGTCGTGAATTAGCTTCAGAATCATCCAGGCTTCATCATGTTTTCCCACCTACGAAACACACAGGCAGTCAGAGCTAGCAGCCAGACAGGACTACCCCTTGCCTTTCAGTAACCGACCACGGTGAGTTTTCAGAGCACATGGAAGGTAGTCGTGCAAAGGTGTTTAGCTCTTCTCCATGGAAGCACAGGTATATATACCACTATAAAGCAGCAGTTCAAAGAATGTACCTTCAACTGGAAATATGACCTATGCACAATAATGCTTCATTTATTAAACAATGAGCAATAGCCCCCTCATCAAGTGAAAGCTATTTGCTTAGGGAAGAGCATGTGTGGTTTTGGCTATAAGACAGCTTTATACACACTCTCTGCTTAAAGCATGTCTCCGTGAAATCAAACCCTACAAAATCTCTTGGTAGGATTGGAGAAGGGAGCTCTTAAGAGGCAGACGTGTTTCCTGGAAACAGCAAAGAAGCCTTTCCAGTATGCATGGACCACTTGCACTTTTGTAACAAGAGGCATTACCTCCAGCAGGAACCGAGGGCTTTCCGGCATGAAGGTCAGGGCAACCACAGACGAGACGCACGGGAGCGCACAGACGATGACGAAGACGCGCCAGCTGTGGAACTGGTAGGCTGAGCCCATGCTGAAGCTCCACCCTGGAAAAGGACAGAAGAGTCAGGGAGAGCTCCTGTACACTGCAGCTGGGCCGGTCACCGTGTGGGGCCCCTCAGGGGTTCGTTAGTCAAGCCTTACTGTCCATAGAGGGGTGAGCTGATCTGTGAATCAGTTACAGCGGCCGGCTCCATTTAAGACCCCCCCACAGGCAGGGATGAGGACAAAGTTGCCGAAATCAAAAGGATCAGGATCTAAGCTGGGGATACATGTGGGATTCCCTAAAACCAAACTCTAAAAGCCAATGTGGAAGAACATGTTTTTCAACAGGCCACCATGCTGGGTGTCTTCTCTTTACTCTCCCAGACCCTGTTCCACTCTTTCCCATCTGTCTGTCAGGAAATGGCCCTCTCTGGACTTCATTATCCAGTTCCCAACCAGGTTTGGGTGGGACTTCACATAGGCTTCTCTATGTAGCCCAGGCTGGCTTTGAACTCATAATCTTTCTGCCTCTGCCTCCTGACCGGTGTGATTATATGCATCTGTTACCACACCTAATTCCCAACTAGGTTCACATAGGACATAGTTTCCTTGCCGTCCTTCTCCCTTCTCTGGCCAGACAGAGGAGTGGCCTGCTTTGGTCTCCTCAGCTCTTCACAGCCAGGCCTCCCTCTGTTGGCCTTTGAGGTTTGGGGACACCAAGGTACTCTGGCATGTCCTACTAATTTCTCTTTACAGTCCCTACAGCTCTGTAAACAGTCCTTTCATTACAACACCTTCAAAGGCCATTTCGGGGGAAGGCTGGCTGCATGGTGCCCTTAACAGAAACAAGGACTTGGATCTCTGCTCATAGACATCACAGGGAATAGCAAGGTGAATGCCGACTTCTAAGCAGACATTTTTAACAATGGGAGTTTTATTACAATATGACAAGAATAGTCACAACGGGATAGATAGGGTAAATAGAAATCCCTTCAGGAACTGGTATTTGCATGAATATATACCAAAAGCAGGAAAGCAGAAGGAATGAGGCGCATCACATCTAGTTGAAGCCAGGGAGGGATTTACAGAGAGGCAGACGAACTGTGTGAAGGCGAACATTAGTATTCAGTCAAGCTTGAGGAGCATAAGGTGAGGTACAACGGTGAGGTAGTCTATGTCTCCCTCCCAAGAGAGATGCCTGGTTGTCTTTTGTGGGAATCCTGGGAGACACCGGAAGTGACATAATCCCGAAAGCTACAAGCTGAAGTCACACAATCCTTACTGCCAGGATTCAAGATGCAGTTGCACACCAGCACCCAGACTTATGCCCTTGACAACTCGTCCACTGTGCTGTTGACAAGTGCTGTCCACACCAGTGGCATGCAATATTAATCTTGCATTAGTTTTGTTCCAAGAATGTAATACGGGGAGAATATGTGGGTTGCTAGGTTAATTATGTGATTAGCTTTCAGGAAGCATGATTACTTTCCATGTCTCCTATAGCCTAGATTCAAAAGTCTCACATATCCAAAATGCAGAAGAAACTCTATGGTAGAACAAAGGGACCATAATGTGCACATTTCATGTGATCTCAGAGCTTCATACAAAAACTCTCTTTAAAGAACTCTAAACCTTATTATTCTCAACACTGGGAAAAACCTCTTCAGTGACCGAGTTAAATTTCAGGCATAACACTTTCCACAGAATAGAGGGAGGAAGAACAAAGAGAAGAGGTGGAGGGCTCTGGTGTCACAGCTCCAAACGAGAGTTCACAAGGTGCCTCTTTCAATGGGAAATAGGCCAAAGTGATTTAACCATGTCACTACAATGGGTGGAGTAGAGTGCTTCTGTGATAGCCGGAAAAGCGACCCCACCCCATCAGAGGTTCTCACATCAACCCCTGGATCCCAAGAATGCAGATGTTACAAGCAAAGGGCATCATGAGTGTTATTAAGTCAAGGATTCTGAGAGAAACAGGTTGTCCAATATTACAGAGTGGGACCAAATGTAAATGTAAGCACACAGTCAGGCAGGAAGACAGAGTGTTCACGTTTGCTTTCTATACCGTGATAAACATCATGACCAACAGCAACTTGGGAAAGAAAGGGATTATTTCATCTTAGAACTTACAGTCCATCAGGAAGGAAAGTCAGGGCAGGAACCTGGAGGCAGGAACTGAAGCAGAGGCCATGGAGGAACACTGCTTACTGGCTTGCTCTCCGTGGCTTGCTTAGCCTGTCTTCTTATACAAGCTAGGACTACCTGCCCAGGAGTGGCACTGCCCATAGTGAGCTGTGCCCCCCAAAATCAATCATTAATAATGGAATTGCCCTACAGTCTCCCTTGCACTCCAATCTGAGGAAGGCATTTTCTTAGTTGAGGCTTCCTCTTCTTGGATGACTCTAATGTGTGTCAAGTTGAAAAAAAAAGCAATTAACCAGTACGCAGAGTGAGACAAGAGAGGATAAGATATGGGAGAAGCAGAGACCAGAGGGGAGAGAGATTTGAAGGTGCTGCATTGCTGGCTTTGAACATGTAGGAAGGGGCCACTAGCCGAGGCTTATTGGAGACCAGTAGAAGGTGGGGATCACAAGGACTACAATTGTCTTCTAGAACTGCCAGAAGGAGGCTGCAGAGGCCTCATGAGCATATTCAAAGGTCTGACTGCCAGAAATGTAAGAAAATAGATTGATGTTGTCCATGGCCAATATGTTTGTCATAGTGGCAAGGGGGACCTGGCCTACTACGTTAAGTTGGAAAACTATAGGTCTGCTCTACTAAGCTCCCATGAGTCATTGTCTTAGCTATTTGTCTCATAGCTGTAAGAAAGCACCTGATAGATCAGCTTCAGGGAAGAAGGGAGTGTAGTCCGTTCAAATAGGGAAGGTGTAGCTGAGAGAACATCTTGGGCTTTGGCTCCACATGACCACTGGTTCCATTGTTGCTACAGTCTGGAAGTAGATAGGGAACTTAGGTGGGAACCAGTCCAGACTATAACCCATGAGGCCTGGCCCCAGCAAGACACAACCATCAGTGAGGCCCCACCTCTTAAAGGTCCCGTAATCTCCCAAAACAGCACCACCTGGTCGGGACCAAGTATTCAGCTGCCACACCTGTTATATGTTAAACTACAAGTCAGACAACTTTGCTGTATTTTGGGGAAGTCTCCCACAGCTTGACGCACGTGTGGCATGCAATGCCCATGTCACCATGGCTCCGTGTCCTGGGTGAACTGATCCCTACTCCTAGCCACGCCCACCTTCCTCAGCTGTTTCACTTGCTCACTTAGACTAGTCCCATGGACTTGTCTCCAGAATCCCACCATGTACTTGAAAGATGCTTCTATGTGTGAGGTGAGGTTTTTTTTTTTTTTTTTTTTTTTTTGTCTCCTTAGTAATCTCATTCTCATTGGAGACTCCTACATGCATTTGATGTTTTCCCTCTCTGGAAGGCTCCACCTGGATGTTCTGCATGGACTGTCTCCTCCATCCCTTCTAGAGCTCAGGTCAGGATCAGCTCCTCAGAGGAGCCAAAACACTAAACCTACTCTCTACTGTAAAGGCCGCTTTATTGTCTGGATGGGCACTGGCTGTTACCAGTCACATCCCTGTATCCATTTCCATGTTTATTATCTAGCCCTTTTCCTACCAAAAAATTAGGAACCTGCTTTTCTGACTCACCAATGTCTCCTCAGTTCCTCTAGTGTTGGGGTGCTCTCTTAATGTGTGTGTGTGTGTGTGTGTGTGTGTACATGAACACATGCAAAATCATTGCAGGTACCAAGACTACAGGTACTCAGGCTCTCTCTCTATTTCCTTCTCGGTCTCTCTTGTTCCTTTTTCCCATGCTTCCTCCCCCCTTTCTCTTTCTTTCCTCCAAATTCACACTAAACAGCAAGACAACTTTGATTTATTTTGTCAATGTCGATAGAGCAAAAGGTACTTATATATGTCTATGAACTTGACAAGCATGTCCTTTCACCCCCAAACACTCCCTCGTGTGGCCTGTCCTTTGGGAGTCAGCTCGTCTTCCATCTAGGATCCTGGTGACCACTGATCTCTCTCTCTTCTGTCCTGATGGTTTTGTCTCTTCAGAATGCTGTGCTGATGGAGGCAGACTACAGGGTAGCTGTCTGTTTTTTGAGGCAGGGTCTTGCTGTGCAGCCCAGGCTGGCCTTGAATTCATACCTAAGCCTCCCACGTGCTGTGATTACAGGCACACATCACCACGCTTGGCTGGTATGCAACTTTGTGAATGTGGTTCTTATACTTAGCATGATTCACTGGAGATTCATACAAATTGTCATATATGTTAGTGGGTTATAGACTGTTGGATTATTCCCAAATTAGGGTATTTATTAATAAAGCTGCTATAAATATTTTTGTGTGTACATTAAAGTTTTCTTTTTGAGGATATAAGGTTAGACACTTGAATCATATGTTAAGTTTCTGTTTGGATTTATTTGTAGCTTTTTTTCTTTTTTTTTTTAATTTTATAAATAATTTAATTTTACATATCAGCCACAGATTCCCCGATCCTCCCTCCTCCCTCTGCTCTCCCCCCTCCCCCCAATCCACTCCCCATTCCCACCTCCTCCAAGGCAAGGACTCCCCTGGGGATTCAGCTCAGCCTGGTAGATTCAGTTGAGGCAGGTCCTGTAGCTAGAGTTTTCCTGCCTGGCCCACAGTCAGGACAAATCTCTGTCACCTGCCAGTCCCACAGCCGCTCAGACCCAACCAAGTAAACACAGAGACTTATATTGCTTATAAACTGCATGGCCGTGGCAGGTTTCTTGCTAACTGTTCTTATATCTTAAATTAATCCATTTCTATAAATCTATACCTTGCCATGTGGCTCATGGCTTACCAGCGTCTTCACATGCTGCTTGTCATGGCAGCGGCTGGCAGTGTCTCTCTCCACCTTCCTGTTCTCTCAATTCTCCTCTCTGTTAGTCCTGCCTATACTTCCTGCCTGGCCACTGGCCAATGAGTGTTTTATTTATTGACCAATCAGAGCATTTGACATACAGACCATCACACAGCAAGGTCCAGTCCCCTCCTCC